GAGAGAGAGAGAGAGAGAGAGAGAGAGAGAGAGAGAGAGAGAGAGAGAGAGAGAGAGAGAGGCAGACAGACACACAGAGACAAATGGATAGGCAGGAAGACTGTGACAGAGAGATGGAAAAAGGGAGATACTGAAAAAGATGGACCAACAGACTGGCAGATCAAGGACAAGACAAAGGGAGAGGGACAGTTTCATAGAGGGCTAACCCTCCTACTGATGTTCTGCACTTGTTTAAATTATTACGATTTGTTGCTTCTGCACACCTTTCCATCTGCAATGCAAATCTCCACAATCTCATGCTCTTTGTGAAAATGGCGGCACAATGTACTGCCTTCTGGGCTTTCTTTCCATCATGAGATCCATCAACAAACTATAGCACTACCAAACGGCCTCATAATTTAGACCTAGAGAAAAACAGGAAGAAAGAGGAGTGCAGCTATGGAAGAGGACGAGGGAGGAAGAGGTACAGTCCACTTTACCAAGTACCTGGAATGGATAAAATTGCTGGTTCCTGCGAGTTCTATGACTGATAACGGTGTTTCCAATAGGACCATTACCACCTTTGCAAGGGCAACACCAAATGCACTACTAGTACTGCTAGTGGCACTACTGCCATGGCGGCCATGGCCACGGTCTTAGTACCTTTGTGTTGCCTACCTTGCTAATATTGCTACGGCTGCAGTCATGCATGCATGGCCAGGATTCCTGAAATATAGGATCCTGCTTCCCACCTTAAACGAGGATACAGGACCAAGAAAGCAGAAATAAATTAAAGACCATGAATAATAGAGTTGAAATACAGAGGGTTATTATGCTTTTCTGCTTTATATTGAAGCCCCCACCATGCATTTACGAACTAAGCTCAAACTACTTTCCTTTACGTTAGAGTGTCTCATCACAGACCTCTATATCTCCTCATTTCTCGCCTTCGGGCCTTTGCCCATGCGGTCATGCCGTGCTTCTCCCATACACACTTGTCATCATTCTCCCCTTCTTTATAAATATCACTAAAGGCTCTTCAATATCACTAAAGGCTCTTCAATATCTGAACAGCTGAATGTTATTCACCTTCTTTATACCAGATGTTTCTCAACTGGTAACCACAATATGCACGCGGTCTGCAGCATTGCGCTCTTAAACTGCCGTCTACAGCACAGTGAGCACACCCCTTCACGGGAGCTTTAGTGGACTCAAAAGTTCACGAGTACACACCGTTGCAGTATTCCTTCGCCCTAAAACGAGACCAATCCCTGTCCCAGCGATAATGACAGTTAACGGCACTGCCCATTACAGCACTCCCGTCCTTTCCCACAGTGCAAGTTCGTGCAGCAACGCCTGCATGATCCTCCACAGCAGTAGCAGCCCTTGTGGCAATCCCCATCAGTGCAACACATTTTGCACTTCCCCTTGCAGCACCTGGCGCCTCGTTGACACAGTCTGACATTGCAGCACCTAGGACCATCACAACACTGGGCATACTTGCAAACTCCCCTACATCAGATCTGTCTACTTCTACAGTGACCATTCCTGCAGCATGCGTTGCACACTCCCTTGCAGCATCTGGTTCCCGGGCGACATTTCTTTCTGTTGCAGCAGCGCGGGTCCGAAGGGCAGCATGAGCCAAGTCAAAACTTTCCCGAACAGCACACCTTCCCCTGCCCACAGTCGGTGGCTTTGCAGCAAGCCTTGCACACTCCATTACAGCATCCGGTGCCTGCGGGGCATGTCTTTCCATTGCAGCAGCCCAGGTCCAAAGGGCAGCATGAGCCCGCTCAGCACTTTCCCCCACAGCACACCTTCCCCTTTCCGCAGTCGGTGGCTTCGCAGCAGTCCTTGCTCACTCCATTGCAGCATCTAGTGCCTGCGGGACATGTCTTTCCACTGCAGCATCCTTGGTCCTCTGTGCAGCACGTGCCGGACATGCACAGTCCTCCGCAGCAGACCTTCCCTACTCCGCAGTCCGTGGTAGCACAGCAGGCCTTGCCTACTCCAGCGCAGCATTTGGTCCCGGCAGTGCATGACACTCTGTCGCAGCATTCTTCGTCCCCTGGAGAGCACGTGCCAGAGATGCACTGTCCCCCCCAGCAGACCTTCCCTTCTCCGCAGTCAGTGGTGGCACAGTAGGCCTTGCCCACTCCAGCGCAGCATTTAGTCCCGGCAGCACATGTCACTCCGTCTCATCATCCTTCGTCCTCTGAGCAGCGTGTACCAAACATGCACTGTCCTCCGCAGCCGACCTTCTGTTCTCCGCAGTCCACGGTAGGACAGCAGGCCTTGCCCACTCCAGGGCAACATTTGGTCCCGGCAGCGCATGTAACTCCGGCGCAGCATCCCTCGTCCTCTGGGCAGCACGTACCAGACATGCACTTTCCTTCGCAGCAGACCTTCCCTTCTCTGCAGTCCGTGGTAGCACAGCAGGCCTTGCACACTCCAGCGCAGCATTTGGTGCCGGCAGCTCATGTCACTCCGTCGCAGCATCCTTTGTCCTCTGGGCAGCAGGTGCCAGACATGCACTGTCCTCCGCAGCAGACCTTCCCTTCTCCGCAGTCTGTGGTAGTGCAGCAGGCCTTGCACACTCCAGCACAACATTTGGTACTGGCAGCACATGTCACTCCAGCGCAGCATCCCTCTTCCTCTGGGCAGCATATGCCAGACATGCACTTTCCTCTGCAGCAGACCTTCCCTTCTCCGCAGTCTGTGGTAGCGCTGCACGCCTTGCACACTCCAGTGCAATATTTGGGCCCGGCGGCGCAAGTGACTCCATCGCAGCATCCCTCATCCTCTGGGCAGCACGTCCCAGACACGCACTGCCCTCCACATCAGACCTTCCCTTCTCCGCAGTCCGCAGTAGCGCAGAAGACCTTGCACACTCCAGCGCAGTTTTTGGGCTCGGCAGCGCAAGTCACTTCTTCGCAGCATCCGTCGTCCTCTGGGCAGCACGTTCCAGACATGCACTGCCCAACGCAGCAGACCTTTCCTTCACCGTAGTCAGCGGTAGCGCAGCAGGCCTTGCACACTCCAGCGCAGCATTTGGTCCCGGCAGCTCAGGTCACTCCATTGCAGCATCCCTCATCCTCTGGGCATCACGTGCCAGACATGCACTGCCCTCCGCAGCAGATGATCCCTTCTCCTTAGTAGGCGGTAGCGCAGCAGGCCTTGCACACTCCAGAGCAGCGTTTGGTCCCGGCAGTGCAAGTCACTCCGTCGCAGCATCCCTCGGAGCAGCACGTGCCAGACATGCACTGCCCTCAGCAGCAGACAATACGTTCTCCGCAGTCGGCGGTAGCGCAGCAAGCCTTGCACACTCCAGCGCAGCATTTGGTCCCGACAATGCAAGTCACTCCGTCGGAGCATCCCTTGTCCTCGGCGCAGCACGTGCCAGACATGCACTGCCCTCTGCATTAGACCTTCTGTTACATGCCCAGTTGGGCGATGTACATATAAACCGAGGATCCGCAATGTGATGAAAAGGACTGAATGGACAATGCAGTGCAAGTAGAATCTCAATAAGCGGTGTACATCCTGATACATACAAAATGGTGTGTTATAGCGCAGTGGAAGATTTAGATACAAGTCCTGACCTGATCGGGACTGACCTCTTTCACATAGTACAAGATAGCGAAGCAGAATGCTAGAATACTAATGACTAGCCCAATCAACGTTTCAACGCAGACCGCACATACATCATTCTCATCACACGTCTGAAGGGGGGCCTGGCGCTAAACACAAGAAGAAGGTGGCAGGTCCAGATCATGCACAGACGAAGAGGAGGGGATCAGACGGAGAAGAGAAGGAGAGAGATGGGAAAGCCGTCAACACCAAGTCTCGTTATGAGTCCCAACTAATCCCTTGCCGAAATGTCTGAAGTCCAATGTCGTGTCTGGATCCAAATGTCACCAAGCTCTCTCTTTCCCTCTCATAGTCTGCTGATGCAGTGAAGTCAGATAACGAGAGGGTGAGAGGGAGATGGTGGACTGAGAAGAGGAAGAAGAAGAACTCTCTCTCTCTCTCCTATGCCAGGTACTAACCTGTGAATGTGGCACTGTGCTGCAGGTACCTCGAAGACGAAGCTGGAGCGATGGCGCTGCAGGTAAGTCCCTCTGGCCTCTGCCCAATCTCTCTCTCGCTAGTACTACTCTAACTGCAATGGCGCCCAGCGCTGAGGACTACAGCTAACGCTACTAGCACCCAGCGCTGAAAACTAATGCTAACGCTACTACTCCTCCTGCAACGCTCCTCCAGAGTGCTGCTGTCGAATCCTGAAGACTACCTCCTGCCTCCTGAACTGCACGTGAAGTGCCTGGGAAGTACCTAGGAACTACCTGCCTCATGCAGGGCGAGCCAGTCTTATATAGTGCTGGCCCGTCCAGGAGGCTGCTCTTGCCAATGCCAAAACGTGCCAGACCCTGGGGTTGAAGCTCAAACAAAGGTTGTCTTGAAACTAGGCCAAGAATAGCCTGAGCTAAAACCCTGGTCTGGTGCCTGAGTTTCAGGGCGGGTCGAACTGATGAGCATTTAAAAATGGCCCTCAGTTTCAGGCTGAAAATACTCAGGGCCGGAAAGACCCTGATTTAGCCTGAAACGACACAGGGCCTGTAGGCCCTTGTTTTCAAGCTTTCAGGATGAAACAACACGGGGCCTGTAGGCCCTTGTTTTCTGGCTTGCAGGCTGAAAACAACACGGGGCTAAAAATGGCCCGTCCAGCCTGTTGCAGGCACAGCATGTAACACCCCCCCCTCCTTATGAAGTCAAGCCGGGACAAGGGCGAAGCTGACGATCTGAAGGTGGAACTTGGATGCGGGTGCGACATGGAGCCGAAGATACCGGCTTGCTTTGCATCTTGCGTTCGAGGTGTAGTACGCAAAGTGTACCAAGTAGGCGAGCCAAACTTGGCTTGAGAGATGAGCCTCATCATTCGATGAGCGCCAAATTGAACCAAAAATCGAACATAAACCGAGTGTCACGGTTGCAGGCGATTTCCTTGAGGTAACCCTTGGTTCAAATCCAACCGGCGTGAAGAACCTCGGCCAATTCCTGTGCCTTGGCAGATATCGGCAAGGCAAAAACATTGAGAACTTGGTGAGTCGGTCGACCACCGTAACGACTCACCGTACGGACGATGGTTGCGGGGTTTGCAGCGTCGGCAAACCTCCCATGACTCGCAATAGCGTGTGACGTCCCCGAGAAGGCCGAGCCATCAAAAGCGCTCGCGAAGTCGATGCACAATCGTAGATCCTTGTCCTTCTTCCGTACGACGAGAACTGGCAATCCGTACGGAGAGCTACTAGGGCGGATCCAACCCTTGTCCAACAAGTCATTGAGTTGCGCGCGAAGGACCGTAAGCTCCTCTTCGCTCATGCGATAAATGCAACCTTTCGGCGGCACGACACCGTCCTCAAGAATGATCTCATGAGAAATCGGCCGATCCGGCACCACACCGGTAGGTGACTCGAAGATGTCGACGAACTCGTCAAGCAACCGCACCACACGGGGGTCCGAAGACAAGTCCATGGGTGAAGACTCGGCTACTGCGATGGTCTGTAGGAAGCATAGGCCGATTTCGTCGGGTTGCTCGTAAGAACAAGTAGCCCGGAATGACTTGGCCATCACCACTTGGCACCGAATCGAAGCTCACAGAAGAGGAATAGTACACGGTACTTCGATGCCGAAGGCGTCGCCAACGATAAGAGTCCGCCGGTGGAAGTTGACCATGTGATCCGCACTTGCAAGCCAAGGCATTCCCAAAATAATGTCCAAGTCTGTGTCTAAAATGTCGAATGTCACCGGTTCGTGTGCATGAGGTGCGAAATACACCGGTACGGCCTTGATGTAGCGGTCGATAAGTTGCTGCGTCCTTCCGTCCGCCAACTTGATCGTCGTCGGGTTCGCCTTCCTCCAAACTTGTGCGCCAAGGCCAGCCCTTTGCATAAATGCTTGGCTCATAAAATGGTAAGACGCGCTGCTATCCAGCAAAGCGCTGCAGGACGCTTGCCCAACTTGGATGCGACATAGAGGAGCGGTGCCTTGTTGTCGTTGTACTACTGATTGCGAAACTCGCGGGCCACCTTGGTAACATACGCAAGGATGTTCCCCACTGCGACGTCGTCATCCGTCGGCGAAGTTGGTGGTGCATAGAAGGATAAGTATGTGAGAAGATAAGTGCATAATGTTGTGCATTGCGGTCCCGACAAGCGGCCCGTGGTCAGGAGAGGAAGCCATGCGAAATCCTCAGACGTGAGCGGGTCCAATACCTCTATGTTGAACTCGCACGGCGAATCCCGTAAAGAATCACTTGAAGACGATAAGTTGTCGCTGCCGGACGGAGAAGATGCTGCACATACGTTTTGTCCTTGAGCATGAGTACCCAGCGTAGGAACGAGCCGGGCAGCGTAGTCCTCAAAAGAATAAAGAAAGAAGGACTATGGACTTCTGCATGTGCCTCAGAACGAAGGGTAGTCACCCACGAAGTAACCGGTTCCAAAGGCGTCGAGAGTGTCGTCGAGTTACTCCCGACGGTGCTCAGTTTCCCGATTTGCACTTGCCTTTGGATTGGCAGGCCATTGTGTCGTGGATATTACTGTTACACCACGGACAATTATGGCGAAATCTCGTGCGTGCCTTGTATGCTTGCTCAGAGAGACCGTAATGGGACCATGGGGCTGGAGTTGCTGCGCCGGGTCCGGGGCTAGATGTGGTGTTTGTCTTCGCTTTGCCGCGTTGTCGGGCGCATCGGTCCGGCACCGCACGGGGGCAGCGCAGGACCCTTCCGGCCGCGTTACGCAGGAGTTGGTTTTTAGAACCCTTCGTCGCAATATACATGGAGCTTCCACAAGCCGCTCCGGCCGGGTGCGCCAACCATACCTCTCGCGAGCCCCTACGATAGGATAGGGCCTACGCGAGGCACGACTTACCTACACCTTACGGGAGTTGTCACCTCCCTTCGGTAGGCGTATCCCYGCCGAGCTACCAGTCCACAGTACGAAAGCTAATCAGTTGCAATCGCAGAGGTGGACCAGCCGAGGGCGTTTCTCGTTCGCAATAGCATAGGGGGTACGCGCGGTAATACACCTCTACCGAACCCGCACGCGAACCGACATCTTGGGGGGGCTGGGGTCCCAAGCGCGACTCATCGTCGGTCGACTAGGACGCATYCCACACACCACGCGCACTCCACTTTACGAACACACATACACACAAAACAACATATATACGAAACGACACAATACCAACAACGAGATAACGCTCCTAGCCCCTCGGTAGCCAACCCATAACTTCCCAATGCGGAAATCGGATAGGCGTCGCGCGCTGAACTTAGTAAAAAACCGCGCGGACGCAAGGCACACTCACATCGATTTCCAATGCAGGCATACGCAAGCAGTCGCAACGATGGCGTATTATGTAGTGYCCATAATCAAGCGGTCCCTCATGGATCCGAGTACCGCTTATGATACTAAAGTGTCAGACTTGAAGTGTCGTGAGGGCCTAACCCTTCACGACATTGCACGGCTGAAGGAAAAGTCGTGCAGTCGCGGTTGCACCTTAGGCTCTCGACCTTAGTGTCTCGATAGGTRAATCRAATARGCTCTTCGCGAGGGAAAACCCCTCCCCTGTAGAGCCTAGGGCTTGGGATGTCCTGKACAAGGACCTCGAATCCCGGCCCAKGACCAAACGTCCGACTAAGAAAATCATCAAAAAGCAAGAGACAAGAATAAAAGGAGAGACCTCCCCTAAGCCCCTCAGTCTCAGCTTCTGAGCGGACTCTAATATGGGGGCTCTTCAACCCATGCAGACATTCATCCCAAGTATACCCATGTATATATATATAAGGGTTAAATATGTGACGATCACTTCTCATGGTTTCGTTGGGGTCTATCACAATAATAAGTTTAAGCCCACACACTACACGGAGTCAACCCCAACCACCTTCGACACTCATACCCCTCGCTTTAGCCATGCAAGCCCCAAACCTCTTGTCCAACCAACCTTAATTAAATACTCAGCACCTTTGTTAAATGGCCATTCAATAAAAGTCTGGGTGAAACCTTAATAAAACAATGAAATCACAAGGGCTAAAGCCTTTTAGGTTGAGTGTAGAGGAAGAGTTGAAATTGAGTCGTAGACCGACGAATCGGAAACCGACCTGTTATCAGTGATAACAGTAAGTGATCCTCAAGGGATTAAGCTGGATCTAGCCCTGAACTTGGATCAAATGATCAAAAGGACCTGTAACACACGGCAGACCAATCCCCAGCTAAGATCATAAGTGTATGGAGAATACAATTCCATAATACATCCTCACTCAAACTTCCTTATTAGCTAAATCTAAGTCTACTTTTAAGTCAGTGCTTAAGCTGAAGGTAGATCAACTGCAAAATCTCCCCTATTCTGGGTAGATCGCCTGAATCACCTATCAAAATATAATCTATCTCCTCTAAACTAAGAAAATTTCGGCAGCGCTTCCCGTAGGAAAAATGTCTTTTCATAATTTATATAAGCCGAGATATGAGAGCAGAAATAATCTCTAACTCTGGAAAGTCAAATTTTGTCTAACTCTCTGATTTAGTAGAAATTTGGGCAGCACTCCCTTTAGAAAGGGAGACTTCCCAAATTTATACTAAGTCAGATATGAAAGCAAAATTAATCTCTAATTATGGAAAGTCAAATTTTGTCAACTCTCTGAATTAGTAAAAATTTGGGTAGCACTCCTTTTAGAAAGGGGGACTTCCCAGATTTATACTCAGTCAAATATGAACTCGAACAATAGCTCGTGCTCAACTTTAGACTGAATTTAACTAACTCCTTAATTTTGTAGAAATTTCGGCAGCACTTCCTCTAGAAAAGTGCTATTCCAAAATTTTATACAAGCGAGGTCAAAATTTGAGAATAACTTTGACTTCTCAAAGACCAATTTTGTCTAACTCCCTGAATTAGTAAAAATTTGGGCAGCACTCCCTCTAGAAAATGAGACTTTCCATATTTATACTAATCCATATATGGAAAAGACAAGTTGAACTCTGACAAGTCAAAAGTTGCCTTACGTATGGGATTTGTAGAAATTTCGTCGGCCCTTCCCGTAGGAAAAGTAGCCTGCCAAGATTTATACAAAGCCATGTATAAGAAAAAATCTCAGAAAATGCAGGAATTGACCTAAGTAAAAAAAAGGTTATTACAGAAAATGCAGGAATTGACACTAACTCCTATGGCTCTAGCACGTGGCGAGCAGCTACAACAACTACTTATAGTAACGAAACCCAAACAAACTAGTCATCCCATCCAGTCACTTGCATACCAAACCACGAATGTAAGTACTCTCACCCTCCCAAGTTCATTCCATATAAATAGTTCGTGAATCTTCAAATTCTTGAATCCTTATACCTATCTTACGTAAGACATAGAGCTGGACTATTCGTCATGGAAACAATGTTCAACTTGTCTTTATGATATACACGAACAGGTTGCACAACTACTTCTTTTTTCTTTTGGGTAGATGACTAGGTCATTCGCCATGGAAACAATGCCTAGCCGCCCTGAGTTGTTTAATATCCCAAGATTTAGTATTTCTCTGACTTTGTTTTCAAAAGAAAAAGCAAATATGAGCAGAGGACTGAACCATTCACAGTAGAAGTAATGTTCAGCTTGCCCAAACTATTTTCAATTATACTTTGTATTTTATTTTTTCTCTTCTTAATGATATGGCTTAACGCTGGACCATTCACAGTAGAAACAATGCCCAGCTGCGAGTTCACATGCAAATATACATAAAATACTTTCCTTTATACTTAGTTTAAATTATGTGCGTGGTTTTCAGGCTTAGCCATTCACCATGGAAACAATGCTTAGCCTTAAACCAAAAATCCTCCCTCAGAATAAAACAAGAATTTAAACCCTTTTAATCAGGCAAAAACCGTCAGAGTTAACTAGAGTAGCCAGACCATTCACAGTAGAAACAATGCTTGGTTCCCTAGAAAACAATAAAATAAACATAGCAACCAGACCATTCACACTGGAAACAATGCCTGGTCCTTCAGAAAACAGTCAAATAAACATAGCCCTGAGTCATTCACAGTAGAAACAATGCTCAGGCTTTGGTTGACCCTTCCAAACGCATGMAAAACTGCCTTCCTYCYACCTTCCCCCMRTTTATCCCTTTGTCTGCTTTCAGYCAGAATAAAGAAAAAAARYTTAGGCTTCACTCTCACACGTTCCTTCCATTCAATCTGATTAGGTCCTGAAGAGAAAGCAAAAACCATARGRACAACACATKCATACCGCAATCATACTACAGGGRGATAGGCAAACATGGGTAGTAGTMGGTTTGTACAGATGGAAATGGTTTACCTGAAAGTTCCCTGCCTCTAGAACCTCGCCTAGGTTCCGGCAGAGCTCCCGCAATCGGTGGGTGGGCTCCCCACAGAGTCTTGATGCGGACCTACGGGTTGCAATCCCGCCTGYCGCCTTCCCCTYGTAACCAGCASACTAGACTTARAYTTAGAAAGATAGAGAGAGAAAAGTGTGAGACTCTCAGAAGGGTGCCCTCAGACTCACAAGAGAGGGCYTTGTAATCTTCATGCGCCTGAGGGCCCCGCAATGACAGYCATATAGCAACCGCTTGGTCAACCTGAAGTCAACCCACCGTCCTCACTCTCTTGA